CTTGGAAACCCAAGGAGGGGTTGCTATGAGTCGGGTCCAACTCGACGGCATATAACAACAACAACAACATACATAAGGCCACCATGAGTTGGAGCCAACTTGATGGCAACTAATAACAACAGCAACCTCCAACATGGAAGAAGATGTCCAGAAGGACAGGGAGAAAACCTGAAATGTATGGAGAGGGCAGCATCTAGATAATGTCTACAAATCGAGGTAGGAAATTTTTGGCATTGTATGATAGTTATTTCTGTCTCCTTTCCTGGACAGTGAGCATCCAGGGCAGGGAAAGGGATTACTCATCTACCTGTCATCTTGGTGCCTAATGTATAGCCATAAAAATAGTTGATGAATCCTGGGTAGAGTGGGAGAACAATGTGGAACAAAACAAAACAAAAAAGTCCAGGTTTGCTAGTCTGATAGAGCCTGGTGAGACCCCTGACAGTATGGCCCCTAGTTACCCTTCAGTTCTGGAACTGAACTCACTCCTGTGGCTTCCAGTCAAACAATAGACAGGCATATGGGGTGAACATTTACATCAGGTAGATACACTCCTTGGAACGATCAGTCATGGGAGAACAGAAGGGCAGTGTTTACACAGTGAGACAGCTGGAGTGGGGGGAGATGCATGGGAGAGAAGGACACAGAAAAGAGGTAACTGTGGGGAGAAAGTGGGAAGAGACCTGTTACACTGTGAGGAATTACAGTCAATGTCATGAAACAAAATGTGCATGAACTGCTATATGGAAAATGAATTTGCTGTGTAAACTTCCACCCAAATCACAATAAAAAATTTTTAAAAAAAGTTGATGAATGAAACGATTCCTGGCTTTGCCACCTACTAATTCTAAGGAGCTCTGGTAGCATTGTGCCTAAGGCATTTGGCTGCTAACCAGGAGATAAGTGGTTCAAACCTACCAGCTGCTCTGCGGAAGGAAGATGAGGCAATCTACTTCTGTAAAGACTTACAGCCTTTGAAACCCAATGGGGGTCATTATAAGTTGGCATCAACTCCATAGCAGTGAGTTTTTTTTTTTCCTTCTGAAGTGACAAGCCCCTTTCTCCAGATTCCAGTTTCAAAATCTATAAATTGAGAGGACTGGATGAGTTCCAGGGAACCCTTTCAATATGAAAGTGGAATTGGTGGCCAAGGGATGGAGAGGCCATGGAAACCTCAAGAAAATTTGATGGAAGGGTGAGGTCACCATCAAGTGATGGAGTGGGGTCTCCAAGGTCTCCAGCAAAATGCTGTGCTAAGGTCCAAAGCAGAGGGATGGGCTCAGAAAGAGGGTTTCCCTGACCCCCACATCTTGAGGCTAACTGCCCAGGACTCCAGAGGAGGAAAAGGACTTGATTTAGGTCAGAGGGTCACTCTCTTATCCTTGTGGGAGTATTGGCTACTAACCCCTTAATTCCTGTGGTTCACTCGATGGGCCCCAGGCCTGCCTCATCAGCCTAGAGTTGAGGAGATCAATTTCTGGAGAAAACTCTGGGTTCCCAGTCCTCCCCCAAGCCTGCTTCTGAACAGGCTGTTCTTGTTTACGACCCCCATCCCAGGGGAACAGCAATTGCTCATCCCCACGTGTGATTTGAGAGGGTGAGCCTTCCAGGCCTGGAAGAAATTCAAGCCCCGCCAGCCCGCCTGGCATCGGAATGCTCAGCTGGTCCCCTCCCGGGCTCATGTGACCGGGGTCCAGCTATAAATATCAGAGGGGCCTCTGACCAAGACAGAATTCGGCGCCAGGAGAAAGAGGCAAAGAGGCTCCAAGGGGGTGTTTTGTGATAAAGCCAGTAGCCCCAGGAATTCCCAGAGCCGGACGCAGGTGAAGGAGGCAACCAGGTGGGCCCATATCTCCTGACAATATGGATTATAAGTCCAGCCTGATCCAGGATGGGAACCCAATGGAGAACTTGGAGAAGCAGTTGATCTGTCCCATCTGCCTGGAGATGTTTACTAAACCAGTGGTCATTTTGCCGTGCCAACACAACCTCTGCCGGAAGTGTGCCAATGACATCTTTCAGGTCAGTGCTGGGTGTGGCCTAGTCCTGGGGCCCTAGGGGGCTACTCAGTTTCCCTGTGACAAAGCCCATTCTCCCCTAGCTCAGAACCTTTCCAAAAGGTGGCTGGCTCTGTCCTCTTCAAACCAAGCTCCACACGGAGGCCTCTGGACTCAGTTGAGGGACACTGGGGAGGCTTCTCTGGCCACTCCAGTCCTCCATGACACATGTTTCTCCTCTCCACCAGGCCCACAGCTCCCCCACCCCTGTCCTGAGCACAGCAGTTGACTCTCCAATCAAGAGTCAAATGCCTCAAGTGATAAGTGGGGGAGGCAGGCAGAGAGGAGAGAGAAACCAGACCCCTGGGGCTGGAGCCAGCACAGCAGTGGCAGGGGGCCCAGAGTGTTGGGAGGAGGGTGGTGGGGAGGCACAGTGCAGTAGAGGCATCTTGCCTTTCGTGGCTGGCCCCTATAAATGGAGGGAGGGCAGTGCTCCATCGTCCTAAGAAAGTAATAAGAGTGGAGGTCTTGGCTGGGAAGCAGAACTCAAGTTTCACCAGGAGCACTTTACAAAAGGCCTTCACTGTTTTATCTTCAAAGTAGTAGCCCTAGGAGGTAGCTCTAATTATAGTGCCCATTTCATGAATGGGCATACTGAGGCTTAGAGAGCTAAGGTTATTTACTCAAAGTCACTCAGCAGGTAAATGTGACTTAAACTGAGGCTCACTGATTCCCAAAGCAGGTGTATACTTTGTATGCTTATCAATTGCTTTGCTTCAGGTGTTCTATGTGTGAAACAGGCTGGTTCTCATTTCAGAATGGGGAACTCAAGGTCATATGGTTCGACAAGAACGGTTGGGGTGGGCAGGAATGGGGAACGATACTAGATTAGAAATGGGCTGGAAATGGAGCCTAGGCCCCACCTCTGCCCTTGCCACCTGCAGGCTGCAAATCCCTACTGGACCAATCGGGTTGGCTCGGTGTCCATGTCTGGAGGCCGTTTCCGCTGCCCCTCCTGCCGTCACGAGGTGATCATGGACCGCCACGGAGTGTACGGCCTGCAGAGGAACCTTCTGGTGGAGAATATCATCGACATCTACAAGCAGGAGTACTCCAGGTCAGCCCATCCTCCCTCCCCGGCCGTTCTGCACCAGTTCTCCCAGGCCCTACCTCATCCACCTCCTCCGTCTGCTCAGGAGTCGTTCCCCCAGCCTGGTCTCCACAGTCCAGAGAGCCATTTCTTCCTGCCTGAGGAACACGTGTCCAACCCTAACTCTCAGTAACACTCAGTGAATGGGGAGGAGCTAGACATCAGACTGCCCTTCTGGGAGATGCTGAGACAGAAATCAGGAGAAAGATGAGAAGAGAGTCACAGATAAGCAGAGAAAGCACCCAGGGAAAATTCAGCCAGGTTCTCTATAATGACAGCAGCAGCTCCCCTCCATAGGTCCGCAGGTACAGTGACAGGCACTGAAGTGCTTCTTCTTGGTGACTCCCAGCAACTCTATGGATTAGCCATGACTTCAATTATCCCCATTTCACAGAAGAGGAAGCTGAGGTTCAGAGAAGGAAAGTGACCCAAGGTTTTACAGCTGGGAAGTAGAAGATCCGGGGGTGGGGACCATTGATCTAGCTCCAAGTCTCCCTGTTTATAAAGTAGCAGCTCACTCTGAGTCAGAATTTGGAAGTTGGAGAAGCTGTGCAGTGTTAGGCTTCATACTGGAGAGAGCTTTACAATCAGGACATCCTGAAAAGACTTCCAGGTGCCTGACCCCTGAGCCTTTATGGTCTAAAACCTTTACCACGCACCTGTCTGCTAGCAGTGCCCTGCTCAAGGGAGGGTGACAGACCAAACCTACTGAGAAAGAGCCCCAGCCTGGTGCACCACGTTTGCAGTTTGACCGTGTTGCTAACACACTTGGATAAGACACTGGCCTTCAGGCCTTCATTTGCATTGTCTGTACGAGGGAAAAGTAAGATCTGTTATTGAGACTGTGAAATAGGATATTGATGGGAAATGTTAAAAACATCAAATATTTATTAAGCATCTATAGCATCAGTATGAGTGGGTTTTTTATGTGTAGGCATTAGGAGCCAATGGTTAAGCACTTGACTTCTAACTGAAAGGTTGGTGATTCAAACCCACCAGCCATTCCATGGGAAAAAGATGTGGCAGTCTGTTTCTATAAAGATTCACAGCATTGGAAACCCTGGGGTGCAGTTTTACTGAGTTGACATCTACTTGATGACAGTGAGTTTGGTTTTTGTTTTGTGTGTAGGCATTGTCCTAAGTATTTTTCAAGCATTATCCTATTTAATCATCATAACAATGCTGTAAGATACTCTTATCCCCATTTTATGGTGAGGAAATGAAGGCTCAGGGAGGGACAGAGGTTTGCAAGGTCACACAGCAACTAAGTGATGAAGCTGAGAGGGAACCCAGTCTGATTGACTCTGCAGTGAATGTTCCCTAACCACTTTGCTAGATTGCTTCTCGTGGTGATGGAGCTCAACATGATAACCATACAAATGTATGGCTGATCATCACAATAATGATAAAACTAACATCACACCAGAATATTAACCCTCCTAGTGTTGAGTTTTGAAGATCATGGTGTGTTTGAAACTGTCCAGACCTTTCTGATAAGTGAATGACAATGATACAAACAAACAAATAACACATCACTATTGAGTCAATTCCAACTCATGGTGACCCTCTATGGCACAGAGTAGAACTGCCCAGAGGGTTTGCAAAGCATTTGACTGCTAACCAGAAGACTGTCAGTTCAAACCCACCAGCTGCTCTGTGGAAGGAAGATAGGACAATCTACTTCTGTAAAGATTTACCTCCTTGGAAACCCAATGGGGGTCGCTGTGAGTCAGAATTGACTCAATGGCAGTGAGTTTGTTTTGTTTGTTTGTTTGGTTGGTTGGTTAATCTTTACAGAATCAGACTGCCATATCTCTTTCCCATGAAGAAGCTGGTGGGTTTGAACTGCCTACCTTTTGGTTAGTGACTGAGTGCTTAACCACTGGGCTACCAGGGAGCTTTATGACAATGATAGCTACCTTTTATGAGGATCTTCTTCATGCCAGGCACTACACACTCATTATAGACAACTCCCGCTATGATTATAGTAGCCCTGGGGGGAAACTAAGGCTCAGAGGAGGCAAAACTACTTGTCTGAAGTCACAAAACGTTAGTGGCAGAACAATCTGGATCTGAACCCAGATGCTAAAGCCTAGGCTCAGGAGTTTGGGCATCTGGGAGGGTGGTGGGTATGAGGCTGCAGACCCACAGGATCTGTGCCTCCCTCAGCACCCATTGCCACCCCAGTGCTCCCTTCCCAGAGCATAGAGACAGGCAGCAAAGGGGGACCCTTCTCAACATGGAGGACCCTGGTCTAAAGATTCAAAACAGCAAATCTGGAAAGGAGCTTATGCAATGAGTCAAGGGGACAAGAAGTCTAGGGTGTGACCAGTCATGCAATGTTGTTTGGAGATGAGGCATTGGCACTGATGGGGGAAGTCACCTATTTGATACTTAAGAGGCACCTGTTGTGTTAGGGGCTGGGCAATAAGACATGGTGTTGGCTCTAACTGAGTGTCTATTCTTGCTAGGGAGGTGAGATCTAGGCCCCCTAAAACTGAATCTAGGGTTGGAAGCAACCAGTACCCCAAGAGAAGCATAAATAACGTACCAGAGGCCCTAAGTGAATAGCAAAATGAAGGGAGAAAGGCATTCTGGGAATGTGTTTGGAAAAAGGAAGGAAGAGACTCTGAACCTTGGGAAGAATCTCTGGATGAGAAGTTGGGGCTTGTGCTGGGCTGTTAAACAGCCATGTTGTTGTTGTTATGTGCCATCAATTCGGACCCGACTCACAGCGACCCCTCCTTGGGTTTCTGAGGCAGTATCACTACAGAAGTGGATTGCCCAATCTTCCTTCTGAGGAGTGGCTGGTGGGTTTGAACCACCAGCCTTCTGGTTAGCAGTCAAGTGCCTTAGGCACTATGCTACCAGAGCAGCCATGGGTCACCCATATTCTAGCTGTGTGACTTAGGACAGATGCCTGCTTCCTCTTCTGAGCCTTGGGGTACCCTCATGGTATGTCTATTCATTGTTCTTTCTACCTGTATTTAATTATCACCAGTGCTGGGCCAGCTACTGTACACTGTAGATTCAGGGGTGAAGAAAATGGCAACTTTCCCTGCCTTGATGGAGGTTACATTCTGGTGGATTAAATATAGAATTAAATGAGGCCATGAGTATAAAATGTTTAGCTCAGAGCCCAACCCACAGTAACCAAAAGCTATGGTGACTATAATTAGCACAAATGTGCTCCAGCCTACCCGGCCCTGACTTGCTGGGCGACCTTGGGCGAGTCAGTTCACCTTTCTGGGTCCCCATTTCCTCTTCTCTCAAATGAGTCTCCAGCTCTGACTCTCTGGAATTCTGTGACCATGTCCTGTGCACTGGGCAAACTGGGGCTTGAGTTCTTGGATATGGGATAGCTTTGGTGTCATTGACTTCCCTGGTCCTGGGTCCCCAGAGAGTAAAAAGAAAAGGTTTGGAGAGTGCCAGTGGCTCAGGCCACCGATCTGGGGTGGCTGGTTCTGACTGGAGCAGGGAAATGAGGCAGGAACTCGGATGCTCCTGCTCCCCCATGACTGGTGACTGTTCTCCACTTTAGCCGGCCCCTGCAGAAGGGCAGCCACCTCATGTGCAAGGAGCACGAAGATGAAAAAATCAACATCTACTGCCTCACCTGCGAGGTGCCCACCTGCTCCATGTGCAAGGTGTTCGGAGTGCACAAGGCCTGTGAGGTGGCCCCACTGCAGAATGTCTTTCAGGGACAAAAGGTATTTAGCCTGAGCCGTTTTTCTACTCCCAGCCTGGGCCTGCCGGGCACAGCTGGTGATTTAGGATGAGGATTTGATCCTTGTAGATCTGCTGAGCCGGTCTTTCAGGAATAGGTCCTCTGGAGGGACTTCCCAGGCCACAGGGACAGCAGCCTTTGCCTTCCTGGGGGAGGTGGCTGAGCTCATGGGTTATACTTAGAGCCATTTGAGAGAACCTGGGTGGCGCCACAGGGGAGAGGCCAGACCCCAGGGCCAGGCCACCAGGCTCTCTCAGGCCATGGCTTCTCCATCCCAGCATGCTTTGGGCCCCAGATAGCCCTTCCTGTGCTCCTCACCTTTCACAGACCTCAATGCAGCAGGAAGCAGCTTAAAGCCCTCACCTGGGCCCCTATGTCTATGGAAGTCCCATGGTCCTGCCCCTGCAGTAAGCTGTGTCTCCTCTTTCTGTGCTTTTTCTTTCTGCTCACCTTTCTCTTGGTCTCTCTCTTCTAGAACTTTCCAACTTTGTTTTCTTCATCTCTTTCTTTCCTAGAAACAAGTCCCCCCTCTAACCCTGCTGTATGTTTTAGGCTGCTCACTTTCTCTCTCTGTGCCTCATCTGTAAAATAATGGATGTACTATCTCTCAGATATTGTCTGTTATGAACTTGCTCTGAACCCCAGAAAGAGGGGCCAGACCCCTACTGGGGGCTCTTTTCAGCAGAGAGAGGAGTGAGGGTACGACTTGGCTGCCTTGAGAGAGAGGGAAGACCCTGAGACTATCTGTCTCCCCTTAATGATCCCTTAACCCTTCCCATCTAGATGGAACTCAGTAACTGCATCTCTATGCTGGTAGCGGGGAATGACCGTGTGCAGACCATCATCACTCAGCTGGAGGACTCTTGTCGAATAACCAAGGTGAGGGGGACAGAAGAGCCCTACCTAGTACTTTGAAGCCTCCCAGTGTACCCTAGTCTCTGGGGTGAGACGTGAAATTTCTGCCATGGGTTGTAGCTAGAGGTTGGGGTCTAGAGTCTAGGGTGGCCAATCTAGGATGGCAGAAAAAAAAAGAGAAGAAAGAAAAATTCACTGCTGTCCAGTCAGATCTGACTCATAGCAACTTCTCCTTGGGTTTTCAAGGTGACTTGATGGCTGTGGGTTTTGGTTTAGTTTGGTACCTCTATGGGAGTAGATTGCCCAATCTTCTTTCTGAGGAATGGCTTGTGGGTTTGAACTTCCAGCCTTCTGGTTAGCAGTCAAATGCCTTAGGCACTATGCCACCAGAGCTCCCAAGATGGCAGAGGAGGGACAAATTCATTTATCCACTCACTCAACAAATGCCTCTAGAGCAAATCTATGGGTCAGGCGGTGCCCAAGATGCTAGAGATGGGTAGTAAACAAGACAGATCTGGTTTTTGACCTCAGGAAATATCCTGCCAATAATTCCCAGTATTTTTCAGTACTAACAGTTTTTGGAACCCTGTTGTTTAGTGTGCTGTAGATCAACACTCCTCAAACTTTTAGGTGCATTCAAATCACCCTGAATATTGTTCAAATGAAGATTCTGACTCAGTAGGTGTGGAATGAGGCAGGAGATTCTGCATTTGTAACTGGCTCCTGGGGTTTGCCCAAGTTACTGGTCCACAGACCACACTTTGAGTAGCAAGAGTGTAGAGGGTGGAAAAGAATGTTTCCATTACTGAAAAATCATCTATGATTTTTTATCTTCACTTGGGGTGAGGGTCTGCAGATGAGATGGGGGAAGAAGTCATCACTGATGAACAAAGGCTTGCTCGTGTACAGGGTAGGTTCAAAGGGAGGAGGGGGACATTTTTCTCCCTATGGGAGGATCCCAGTCTGATGGAGGATGCTAGAGTCCCAAGTCTGATGAGGTGCTATTATTGTACTCACTTTTCAAATTGGAAAATTAAGATGTAACATCTGTGTTGGAGAGAAGGGATCCTCAATAAGGAGGCTACTAGGGCAAGATCTACTTGTACCTCTCCTAGGACCAAATGCTACATAACTTCCTCAATCAAGTCTTGGTCCTAAAATGGAGGGAAGAATGTGACTTGGGGTCCATGGGAGGCCCAGAGTGTGCCAACCCATCTGAACCTAGAGTCTCTATTTTTTTGTGGGAGTGGGTAGCCTTTCTCCACGACAGCAGCCTCCAAATGTTACTGGTGTACTAATTAGCCGTGAGACCTCAGCAAGTGCTTTCTTCTTGCTAAGCCTTTATTGCATCTTCTGTAAAGTGGGGCTGTAGTAAGTTTTCTTCTGACTTTAGAGTTTTGTTCCTGGGCACACCTACCCCAGGAAGGAAGTGTTGGGGGGTATGGAGTAGAACCCCACAGGAGGTGACTCTAAGATTTCTGTCTTCAGGAGAACAGTCACCAGGTGAAGGAAGAGCTGAGCCAGAAGTTTGACATCCTGTATGCCATCCTGGACGAGAAGAAGAGTGAGCTGCTGCAGCGGATCACGGGGGAGCAGGAAGAGAAACTCAGCTTCATCGAGGCCCTCATCCAGCAGTACCGGGAGCAGCTCAACAAGTCCACCAAGCTGGTGGAGACAGCCATCCAGTCCCTGGACGAGCCTGGTGGGGCCACCTTCCTCTTGGTAAGCAGGACCAGGATCTGGGCAGGGTGACTTCAGCTCAAGCTTTGTTTAAATTTTGAGACTTGGCTTCTCCACGGAGTACCTATGTGCCCTTGGATAAGTCATTTCAATCTCTCTGCTCCTCAGTTTCCTTTTCTGTAAAATGGGTGTGGAACCATCCCTATCTTTCTCTTAATGATTATACGAAGATCCAGTGAAATGGCTTTGTTTGTGAAATGGCTTTGTAAGCTGCAAAATTCAGCGTTCATGGAAAAGGCTATTAATTGTAGGTGGGACACTGAGGTGGAGATATAAAAATGAGTGAGACCCACAACTGCTCTAGAAGAGCTTATTGACTGTGAGGGGGACAGAAAGGGGCTCCACTATAAAACTTCATTGTTGTTGTTATTAGGTGCCCTTGAGCCGGACTCGACTCATAGCGACCCCTCCTTGGGTTTCCGAGGCAGTATCACTACGGAAGTAGATTGCCCAACCTTCCTTCCAAGGAGTGGCTGTTGGGTCTGAACCTCCAGCCTTCTGGTTAGCAGTCAAGTGCCTTAGGCACTATGCTACCAGAGCTCCCTATAAAACTTCATACTTCAGTAAAAATTTTCTGAGCATCTACTGGGAGCCAGGTTCTGAACTAGGTGTTGGGTATAAAAAGGTGATTGGGACATGGTCATCATTTTTGAGATTTCAGGCTTCAGAAGGTTTGGGGCTTCCTGTTAGGACAATGAGAAGGTCCTAGGGTGATGACCAAAACCTGTGCAAACCATGGACAGAGGAGTTGAGCTCAGGGAGGGGGACAGATCACCACTGGGCTAGGAAATGGCACCAAGTATCCACATGTAACACCCAGTCACCAATTTTGCTGATTTCCTGGGGCTACACCCCTTCTGCAGTCCTAATCTTTTGCTCTCTCTCCCTACAGAGTGCCAAGCCACTCATCAAAAGGTCAGTATCTCCCCAGAGGCTATGACCCTAGGCCCTAGGCTCCCATGGGGGTCTTTGATTTCTTTCCAGAGGGCCTCCTCCTTCATATTAGGCTGTTGAGAAGGTCTCACCCCAGGTTGGCTTTCCTGATTTTTGTATCCCCTACTCTCTTAGATCATCCATTATGGTTATGACTGGAGAGAAAGTACTCCACCCCTCCAGGTGGATCCTTTAGGTGCAAGACTTGGGTGTGAGTACAAGCACATGTACTCGGGTGAACTAGAGCTAAGCCACCCCTTCCTGCATCAAGCCCCAGAGATCTCACCCTGCTTATCTCTCTTCCTCACAGCATTGTGGAAGCTTCCAAGGGTTGCCAGCTAGGGAAGATAGAGCAGGGTTTTGAGAACATGGACTACTTTACTCTGGACTTAGAGCACATAGAAAACACCCTGAGGGCCATTGACTTCACAACAGGTAAGGGAGGTGATGGTGCCATGTGTCCATTTCTCTGCTTGACCCCTGGAAGCTGACATCAAGGCAAACTCATAGAGTTAACTTTTGGATGAGTCCAGAGCCTAGAACAAGTGCCTGGCACATAATTGTTGCTTGATACATTACATATGAATCCATGGCAGAAAAGCATGTTGGGTGGTGTCTGGAGTCAAAGAGACTTGAGTTCAAATCCCACTCTGCCACTTATTATTTGTGTGACCTTTGGCAAGTCCCTCTACTTCTCTAAGCTTCATTTTCTAACTTGAAAAATGAGGTTAAAGTGGATCTCCTAATGATGACCACCTTGTGCTGCTATTGCAACAAATAAAATAATGTTGCTGAAGGGTTTTTATACAATAAATGTCAAATACTAGTTATCCTCTGAACTCAGTCTTAGCTTCAGCTTTTATGCTATCATCTATAATATCTGACACCTTAATTTATCTATATTATGCATGCATTTCTGTTTGTAATCACTCTTCTATGGAGTATCATAATAATTGTAACAATGTACCCATAATGATAATAAGAGTAAACATTTATTATATACTTACCTTGTGGCCAGCATGGCTAAGTGCTTTACAAACATTTCTTCACTTAATCCTCATAACACCCTATGGAATAAGGAATATTCCCCTCATAAGCAGCTGTGGTGGCACAACAGTTAAGTGCTTAGGGGCTAACCAAGGTCAGTTGTTTGAACTTACCAAGCTGTTCTGTGGGAGAAAAGTCCTGGCAGTCTTCCCCCATAGAGATTACAACCCAGAAAACCCTATGGGGTGCTTCTACTCTGTCCTATAGGGTCACTATTTGTTGGAATCTACTCAATGGTATACAACAAGATTCTCCTCGTTTCAAAAATGACAAAACCAGACAAGAACACAAATATGTTACTAGTTTTCTCCAAGTCACACAGTTAAAATTAAATTAGCAATAAAGAGAAACCTGTTGCTATTGATGGCATAGTCCCTAAGGCATTTGACTGCTAACCAGAAGGCTGGTGGTTCAAACCCACCAGCCACTCCTTGGAAGGAAGGTTGGGCAATCTGCTTCCATAGAGATACCCCCTGGAAACCCAAGGAGGGGTCGCTATGAGTCAGATCCAACTCCATGGCAGTGCGTTTGGTTTGTTTTTGGTTGCTATTGAATCGATTCCTACTTATAGCAACCCAATAGGACAGAGTAGAACTGCCCCTATAGGATTTCCAAGGCTGTAATCTTTTTTTTTTTTTTACTTTTATTGTGGTGATAACATATACAGTAAGGCATTCACCAACACAACACGTTCCACATTTACAGCTCAGGGGCATTGATGACATTTTTCATGTTGTACCAAGGCTTAAATCTTTACGGAAGCAGACCGCCGCATCTTTCTCTGCGGAGTAACTGACGGTTCAAACCACAGACCTTTTGGTTAGTAGCTAAGCCATTAACCACTGTGCCACCAGGGGTCCTTAGAGAAAGAGGAAGGGGAAAAAAAAACCCTCCTGTAAACCCTCCTGTTGTCAAGTCGATTCCAACTCATAGTGACCTCCATTGGATTTCCAAGGCTGTAAATCTTTACAGAAGCAGACAGTCTCATCTCCCTTCCACAGAGTGGCTGGTAGGTTTGAACCACCAACCTTCTGGTTAGCAGCCAAATGCTTTAACCACTACACCACCAGAAATAGAAAGCAAATCCAATTTGACTAAATGTTGCTTTGGTCTGGGAGATGATGCTCCCATAACCAACCCAGAGAAAGAGAGAAGTGTGTGCAAGAACAAGGGAGAATGAACAGGTTGGCATGAGAAGGAAAAGGCCTCAGGACACCTCCTGTGCCAGCTTTCCTGCAAGACTTCAATATCTGGTCAGATCTGCTCTCAGAATCCCAGATATGCTCCAATCATGGAGAAGGACAAACTGTACCCAAAACTGAGATGCCAATGGACTCAAGTATATCCATTGCTGTAGATCGTCTGCTCCACTCTTATCTTCCCTAAGCTAAGAGATTCAAGAGTGGCTCATGCTGTGTGAACACAGTAACAATGTGAAGACCTACACTGTCTTTTGTCATCCCTCTGAGCCTCGGTTTCTCATAGGTGAAATGAGGAGAATACCAACAACTGCTCTTTAGTGAGCATTTTCTATGTCCCAGGCACTTAGTCTTGGCACATAGTTAGCCAGTTACTGTCAAGCTCATTCCTGCCCATGGAGACCCTGTGTATGTCAGAGTAGAACTATGCTCCATGGGGTTTTCAATGGCTGATTTTTCAGAGGTAGATCACCAGGCCTTTCCTCCAAAGTGCCTCTGGGTGGACTTGAACCACTTATCTTCTGATTAGTAGCTGAGTGCATTACCTGTTTGCCCCACCCAGGGACTCCTGACACACAATAAGTACTCAGCAAATGCTGAGTCTAATTGTGATGACGATTTAATAACAGCAACCCCCCCTGGGTTATGCACATGTCCCAGCCACTTGGCAGGACTTTTGTCTGTCATTTTTGGAGGCATTAAGGTGTTCAAGCCACACACATACTCTTGATAAGTGTTCTGACTCTGTGGCGATCTGCTCAAGGTCCCAAAGGATTAAGGAAGTGGCGTGGGGAGGGTGTGTGGGACATGTTCCCTGTTAGTGGAGCTTAAAGGTGACATCCCAGGACAGGAAGGCGAGGATATAGGTTACAGCTCTGTCATTGGCCCTTTGGTGCTGGGTTCAGGGAGCTAATCAACAGGAATGCTTCCTACCCCATGCCCACTCCTTGAGGCTAAGGAATGAGGAGAAAAACAGGAGAGGGGTTGCTGAGCAAGCTAATGTCAAAGGCTGAGCAAATTCCCTCAGGACAAGGACTTTGATCCCAGAAAACCAGAGTTCTTGTCTGTTGCCCCCAGTGACCAGTGACGCTTATCTGTCTGAAAGATGTACAAAAGAACACAGTGTGCTTCCCCCAAGTCCCCTCTGCTTATCACAGACCATCAGATAGTGATAGAAGAAACTGCAGCTCCTGGAACACAGGCGCCTGGGCCTCGATCCCTTGGTGGAGTGTGGGTGGGAGAAGGCTGACAGGGGAATGAGGCTGAGGTCACTCGGGTTTGGCAAGTCTCACCTTTCCAGGGTCTCTGCTGCCTCTCAGTGACCATTTGACTCCATGTGGTCAGGAAAAGGGGTTTAGATGAGTGCTATCTCCTGGTTCCCCTTTGAGCAGCTCCTCTAGAGAACTGATCCCAACCTAACACCATTTGTCTTTGTCATACACAGATGAAGAGGAGGAAGAAGTCATTGAAGAGGAAGAAGATGAGGATGAGGAAGAGTCCACAGAGGGGAAAGAAGAAGGTAAGAAACCCCTTTCCTCCCAGTCATTCATTCATTTGCTCATTCACTCAACAACATGAGACAGCTACCATGTGCAAAGCACTGTGTTAGGCACTGGGGGATGGGGCTTAATCTGTTACCAACATATATTTTTAAATATTTTCAGAGCAAATTCTAGTTACTTTTACCCTTAGGTAAAAACCCCAAGCTATTCATAACAAAAAGATTCCCATTTTCCATCTAAATGATCTTAACTGAAAGGCAACACAGCACAGCAGAGGTAACAGACAGTGAGTTCATAAGCCAGGCTTGGTCCATTGATAGGTTTTGTTTGGTTATTTTTGCCAGCCCATTTAAAATAGATTACATTGGTTACCAATATTTAAAAAGTTGTTGTTGTTGTTGTCATGTGCCCTCAAGTTGGTCCCAACTCATAGTGACCCCTCCTTGGTCCTAGGTGGTATCACTACAGAAGTAGATTGCCCAACCTTCCTTCTGAGGAGTGGCTGGTGGGTTTGAACCGCCAGCCTTCTGGTTAGCAGTCAAGTGCCTTAGGCACTACGCTACCAGAGCTCCCATTTAAAAAGTAGAAGATTAAAAAAAAAAAAAAAAGGAGATGTCAACTAAGATTCTGGACTTTTACCTTCTTGTGAACATTTGGGAAGGGCTTACATTTCCCTTCCTGGGCTCGTACTTCCCCCTGGCCCCAGGCAGCTGGAGCACCGCAGGGTTTTCCCCTGGACATGGAGCCACGCTTGCCAGTTTGCCAGCCCCCACCACTGTCGAGTCTGCCTGCTTCACTCCTTCATGTTATCTGCTGGCCCCAGTAGGTATCTGAGTTTACCAAACTGGCAGAGCTGATAAGGACCTGGATTCTGAATTACAGCTCCCCAAAGAGTAGTGGTGTGACCTTGAAATATTTATAACTTCTCTGAGGTTTGGGCTACTCATCTGAGCATGGGGTTCTCATAGTATTGACCTCAGAACATTATTGTGGGGAGTAAATTGTGCTTGTAAATCATTAAACACAGTGTCTGGTACTTAGGAAGAACTCAATACATGTGTCCTGATTTCAAACCATAGTTGCTGTTGTGAGGTGGCATTGAGTCAGTTCCAACTCATAATAACTCTATGTACAACAGAATGAAACACTGCCTGGTCCTGCACCATCCTCACAATTGTTATGCTTCAATCCATTGTCACAACCACTGCGTCAATCCATTGAGGGTCTTCTTTTTCTCTGACCCTCTACTTTACCAGCATGATCTCCTTCTCCAGGGACAGAGCACTCCTGACAACATGACCAAAGTATGAGAGACTAAGTATGGCCATTCTTGCTTCTAAGGGGCATTCTAGCTGTACTTCTTCCAAGGCAGATATGTTGGTTCTAGCAGTCTGTAGTGCATTCAATATTCTTTACCAACACCACAATTCAAATGCATTAATTTTGTGATCTTCCTTATTTGTTGTCTAACTCTCACGTGTATGTGAGGCTACTGAAAATACCATGGCTTGGGTCAGGCTCACCTTAGTCTTCAAAGTTACATCTTTGCTCTTTAACACTGTAAAGAGGTTTTTTGCAGAAAATTTGCCCATTGCAATAAGTCATTTGATTTCTTTTTTTTTTTTTTTCCTACATGGACCAAAGTTTATTAAAGTGAGAGGAGAAAGGGGGGGCTTGCAAGGGAAAGACAGAGGGGGGCTTTTGCCTACGCTAGCCTCTGGTCTCTCCTGTCGTTTGATTTCTTGACTGCTGCTTCCATGGGTGTTGATTGTGGATCCAAGTAAATCCCTGACAACTTCAGTCTTTTCTCCATTTATCATGATGTTGCTCATTGGTCCAGTTTTGATGATTTTTGTTTTCTTTATGTTGAGATGTAATCCATACTGAAGACTGTAGTCTTTGATCTTCATCAATAAGTACTTCAAGCCTTTTTCACTTTCAGCAAGCAAGGTTGTGTCATCTGAATATCACAGGTTGTTAATGAGTCTTTCTCCAATTCTGATGCCGCGTTCTTCTTCATATAGTCCAGCTTCTCGGATTATTTGCTCAACATACAGATTGAATAAGTATGGTAAAAGAATACAATCCTGACACACTCCCTTCCTGATTTGATTTTAAACCGTCCAGTATCCCCTTGTACGGTTTGAATGATAACCTCCTGGCCTATGTGCAAGTTCCTCGTGAACACAATTAAGTGTTCTGGAATCCTCACTCTTGCAATGTGCAAAAAGGACTGGAAGTGGCATCTTCTGACCTCCTCCAGTCTCATGAGGGGGAAACAGAATCCCCATCAGCAGCCCAAAGCTTAGTCCTAAGAGACCAGACATACTGCCACCTCCCAACCTTTTTACTAATTCTGACACCAGCCATCCCTCCCACGGCACTCACTACTTCTCTGCTGGGTTTAAATTCATTGCAACTCACAGACAATACTCACAATTATGGGGTTTATTAGGGAAGTAACAGGCTACAATTCAGATTCAGGAACGTGCTCCAGATATGATTCTTTGATCAGGACAGTCTTCTCTCTGCTGTGCCTTCAGACACGCCTCCCTGGTGCTTAGCCTTTTGGCCCAGTCTCTGCCCTGCTTGGGCAAGTGTTACAAAGCTCTTTTAGCTTTGCTGATAGGTACACCTAGGTGCACCCCACTCTGTAAGCAAGCCTCCTACCCACAAGGCACTCAGCTCTCTTGCTCCGTGGGACAGGTAAGCCGGCTGCTCTATTGTTCTGTCTCATGCCTCTTGATTCTACTCCAGTCGTCTCTCTGCTGGGGCATCTCTGCCAAGGAGGTTCAGTGCAGGGATCTCGGATCCAAGGATGCACTCTACTTCACCTCTAGTTCTTCTTTCAGGATGGCAGTGAGACTCCCTCTCTGCCTCTAGGAGGGCTCATTTTAAGCCTGGTAGAGTGACAAAACTAACCAATCCCTACATCAGAGTTCTGCACACTTTATTTGCATGGTTCCACCCAGTGGAGTTCCAAAGACTATGGCTAGAAAAGCCATACCAAGTAATTCACTGCCCTGCAGGCCACCCCCTAACTTTTCTAGCCCTTGTCCCTTTCATATTTCAAAAATTAACAACCCCTTCACAACAGTTTAAGAATAAACACACCCATGAAAGCATATAAGCCAGCCACTTCATGCCTTTATCTCCCCCCATTTCAGATAACCAATTTCTAATTTGTCTATCCCTATCAAACCAGTGGGAGTTCTGGTGGCATAGTGCCTAAGGCATTTGACTGTTAACCAGAAGGCTGGCAGTTCAAACCCACTAGCCACTCCTTGGAAGGAAGGTTGGGCAACCTACTTCTGTAGTGATACTGCCTCGGAAACTCAAGAAGGGTCGCTATGAGACGGATCCGAACCAGTACTCTGAGAACATAAGCATGTTCTTTTGTCTGATGACTCTCCTGTTCTGGTTGGAACTTTGAGCATCACATTCATAAATAAGCAAAGTCCAGTCCAGAGTAAGCCATCAAATTGCGACAACTTGACACCAGCTCAGTATCAAGCATCTTCTTCATATGTTTGGGTTCTGGTCAGCTCAGCCCTAGGCATCCCAACTAGATACCAGCTGCAAGTTTGGGAGTCACACTCCTCCCTTCATGCAGACCAGCCAGCACCTTCTCTCTCTCTCTCTCTCTTTCTCTCTCTCTCTCATCCCTCGTCCTCAGGGACTAGTTCAGTGCCTATAAGAGTCCACACAACCCCTTGTACTTTGGACCAGCCAGCCCTTCCTTTCATTGCTAGCCTCTGTGGGAGGAGTACCAAATTCAGCCCATTTCTTCAGTGCTGCACTTCTCCACTTCCACTCATGAAGTGAACCCAAGTGGTCACGGGCAAGCAGCATACAAGCCTGCTACTCACTGGCTCCCCTTAACTTCCAGTCCTGGAAGGGGCTTCTCTCATGGTCCATGACTTTCCTCCCTGATGCACCCAAAGCCAAACCTCTTGGAATTCAAAAACCAAGTACTCTTTTTCCCCCACCTTTTTCTGCAGGTCCTGTCTTCAAATGTACATCTTCTGTTCTCTCAGTAGTTCTGGGTGGGTCTTTTCAAATGCAAATTTCCTGACTTTGAAGGGTCTGGGTGGTGCTCAGGTTTTGTACCTAAGCTCTCTATACTCTACATACAGGGTTTGAAACAAAAGTCTATGTTTCTTCTGGGCAAATTCTATTTCCCTTTTTAATTTATCCAATCAAGTATTGGCTAAAGGCAGACTTACACACTCTCTGTTATCCATACCCAATAGTCATTTCTAACATACAACCAGGTAAGACAACATTCAATATCCATGTTGTTATATGCCGTCAATTCGGACTCGACTCATAGCGACCCCTTCATGGGTTTCTGAGGCAGTATCACTATGGAAGTAGATTGCCTCATTTTCCTTCCGAGGAGTGGCTGGTGGGTTTGAACTGCCAACCTTCTGATTAGCAGTCAAGTGCCTTGGACACTACGCTACCAGAGCTCCCTCAATATCCATAGCACATTCATGTAAACACATAATCCAAAACACATAATCCTTTTAAAACATTCTAGTTTCATCTCTTCACCTTGATTAGCTTCCCATTCTATGTATATGGCCTTGGGCCTCTGGCTGGGTGTAACCAAAAACCCTAGCCTTTGGACCAATTATATCCTTTAATTGGCCTGGCTGTTGCCATAGGCCTTTCTCCCCTCAGCTGCAGCAGGTTGTTGTTAGGTGCTGTCCAGTTGGCTCCAACTCCTAGTGACCCTATTTACAACAGAATGAAACACTGCCTGGTCCTGTGTCAGCCTCATTGTTCTTGTTATACCTGAGCCCAGCGTTGCAGCCACTGTATCAATCTATCTCTTTCAAGGCCTTCCCCTTTTTCATTGACCCTCCACTTTACCAAGCAAGATATCCTTCTCCAGGGAATGGTCCCTTCTGACAACATGACCAAAGTAGGTCAGACAAAATCTGGCTATCCTCAATTCCAAGGAGCATTCTGGCTGCACTTCTTCCAGGACAGATTTGTTTGTCCTTCTGGCAGTCCATGGTACTTTCAGTATTCTTTGTCAATACCACAACACAAAAGCATCAACTCTTCTTCAGTCTTCCTTATTCATCGTTCAGCTTTCCCATGCATGTGAGGCGATTGAAAACACCATGGCTTGGGGGTAGGCACACCTTAGTCTTCAAAGAGACATCTTTGGTCTTCAGCACTTGAAAGAAGTCTTTTGCAGCAGATTTGCCTAGTGCAATACGATGTCTGATTTCTTGACTGCTGCTTCCATTGGTGTTGATTGTGGAACTAAGCAATATGAAATCTTTGACAGCTTCAATCTTTTCTCCACTTATCATGATGCTGCTTATTGGTCCAATTGTGAGGATTTTCATTTTCTTTATGTTTAGGTGTAATCCACACTGCAGAGCATAGTCTATAATCTTCATCAGTAAGTGCTTCAAGTCATCTTCACCTTCAGCAAGTAAGGTTGTGTCATCTGCATATCGCAGGCTGTTAATGAGTCTTCCTCCAATCCTGATGCCGAGTTCATCTTCATATAGTCCAGTTTCTCAGATTATTTGCTCAGCATATAAATTGATTAAGTATGGGGAAGGATACAACTCTGACACACTCCCTTCCTGATCTTAAACCATGCAGTATCCCCTTGTTCTGTTCAAATGAGAGCCTCCTGATCTATGTACAGGTTCCTCATGAGCACCATTTAGTGTTCTGGAATTCCCATTCTTCTCAATGTTATCCATAATTTGTTAGTAGACCATATAACTGTTCAATTCAAAATGGCCAATAGCAGTCCATTTCAGCTCACTAATGCCTAGGTTATCGATTGTCATGGATTCCATTTCTTTTCTTTTCTTTTTTTTTTTTTTTTACAACTTCCAATTTTCCTAGGTTCTTACATCTTACATTCTATATTCTGATTGTTAATGGATACTTACAGCTGTTTCTTCTCATTTCGAATCATGCCACATCAGCAAATGAAGGTCTGGAAAGCTTTACTCCATCCATGTCATCAAGGTGGACTCTACTTTGAGGACGCGGCTCTTCCCCAGTCTTCCCCCAACCTGAGGGGCTCATCTTCCAGCACTTTTTCCGACAATCTTCCCCTGCTGTTCATAATGTTTTCAGTGGCCAATTTTTTCAGAAGTGGACCTGGCCACACCCTTCTTACTAGTCTGTCTTAGTCTAGAAGCTCCACTGAATCCTGTATACTGTGAGTGACCCTGCTGGCATTTGGAATACCAGTGGCATAGCTTCCGTCCTCACAGAAACAAGCAAGCCACCACAGTATGACAAACTGATGAGTACTGGAAACCATAGTAACTGGAACTAAATTCCAATTGTATGAGAGCTTCAGTTATAAAGCACTTGGTTTGCAGAAATCTGTTGTCTGTAGCAGGAATCCTAACTCAATTATGACTCTGGACATAGGTTCAGATGCCATCTGAGTTCTTTATATTCCTTCTCCAATGCTTGCTGATCATTCAACTAGCAGTGTGGCTATTCTTAGACAAGTCTCGGGCAAGCCCAGGGAGGGGCAGTTTGCCTTCAGGAAGAATGTAGTAGAAAGTTGATTATGCACAAAGATGCTCAGACAAAGAACTAGAGAACCTGCCTGGGCATTTACCAAAAGTCACCAATCCAGATGCATATTAATCTAAGGTAAAGGTTGGGGTCCTGGTACTATGACCCAGGTTTGCCTGATCATGAGTCATTCCCTAACCACCACGTAGCCAGGTAATTAAAACCTCAGAACCAATCCTGTAATCTTTTTAACTTGCAATTGTATACGTATCCCAATCACGGCCCTTTCCCTGCTTCTGTGGTCCTACCGAGGACAGTGATAAACTGACTTCTACCAGTTGAGATCCTGTGATGATTTCCTTTGCTCCCTATCACATGTCATGATCATGACTGTGGTTCAGCAGGTTCCCTTGTTCTCTGTACTGGGTACATGCTGACAGCATCCAGATAGTTTTCTTTGTTTTTGTCTTTGTCCTGTTTAAGACTTAATAAAAGGGTCTCTGTACAATCCTATTGCATCTGGGGTCTTTTCCCCGGCATACAGTGCAGCTGAAGAATGTAGAGTCATCTTTTGGAGTTTTATACTGGAAATGCAACCCATACTGTGTTGGAAACAGAATTCTATTTTTGTTTAAAAAAGGAAGAAACCAGACAGATGCTTTTATTTCTCACTGTAGCCTAGTGAGTCCTGGGTCCCCCACCGAGTCCCTGTCTCACCATGTGTCTCTTTTTCTTTTTCTTTCAGGACACCAGTAAGGAGCTGGATGAATGAGAGACCCTCTAAACACAGACAGACTGGGGAGGGTGGGGATGGGCCCAGCTGTCTCAGACAGGCCCAGGGTGGGAAGGGCGGGGCCCCTGGAGGGGCAACGGGGAGGTGTGTCTTCCCTCTACTCAGAGAGCAGGGACTAGGGGTAGGACCCCACTGCCAGGTCCAGCGGCCATTGAACCAGAATTGGATATGTGCTTGAAACCACCACACAGAACACTTTTCTATATTGGTGCAAAATGGAATATTTTGTATATTTTTTAAAAGTGATTTTTTTTTTTTTTTTGTATATACTTGTATATGTATGCCAATTTGGTGCTTTTGTAAAGGAACTTTTGTATGATAATGCCTGGTCATTGTGTGACTGGCGATTGTTAGAAAGAGGGGAAGGAAGGCAGATTGATACATCTGACCACTTCTTTCTGAAGTAGCGGGGGGGCTGTGTAGCACTCACAGGCCTAGAAAAGGATAACGTACTGTATTTCAGTGCCTATCTCTGACATTCGGGGTGGTTACTAAGTTTGTGTTATATGTCGTTTTAATAAATGCACAGTGTTCTCTTCCCATATTACCAAAAGAGCTGGGCTTTCATTCCGTTTCTCCATCCCTACCCCCACTTATAAAGAAGGATCCTTGGTGGCGCAGTGGTTAAGCTTAGCTGCTAATTGAAAGGTTAGCAATTCCACCCATCAGTCAACTCACCACTCTACCGGAGAAAGATGTGGCAGCCAGCTTCTGTAAAGATTTTAGCCTTTTAAAATCCTATGGGGCAGTTCTACTCTGTCCTACAGGGTTTCTGTGAGTTGGAATTGACTCAACAAGAGTGGGTTTTGTTTTGGGTTTGGCTTCTGGAGAGAAGAATTCAAGGTGGATGGTCTAATAGGACGTTTGTGGGAAGAGGTAGAAAGTGATGGCAAGACTAGGCTTATCCCTCCAAGACTTTTATTTTGATGAAGATATACACAGCAAAAGATACATCAATTCAATAATTTCTACATGTACATTTCAGTGACTTTGGTTACATTCTTCAAGTTGTGCCACTTTTCTCCATATCCTTTTCTGAGTTGTTTCACTATCATCAACACCAACTCACTGTGCTGTAAATTTCTCATCTAACCTTCCACACTGCTATTGTCAATTGGATCTCAGGTAGATAATTCTTTAAAAGAACACAATGCTCAAGTCAGACATTCTTTTCTAATTATGCTACACTGGTTTACAGATGACTTCAGGGACTAGTTTCCCTTTAAGGTTTAAATATTAGCTCTGGGCAACAGTTTTGAGGGAGGGTCATCCAGCCTTACTGGCTCCAGAGAGTCTGGGTTCAATAACAATTTGAGATTCTATTCCACATTATTCCCCCTTTTGATCAGGATTTGTCTATAAATCTTTGATCAAATCATTCAGTCATGGTAGCCCAGCACCATTCAGTTCTTCTGGTCTCACGGCAAAGAAGGTGGTGGTTCATGGAGGCAGCCTCCAAGAGTTCTTTAAATAAGGATTTCCCAGCGTGAGTTCCATGGAAAACTGGCCCTAAGATGATCCTCAAGATGCAGATTTAGTTTGTAGTTACCCTGGTTCTCCAGAAAGCAGAGCTTGAGGCAAAGCTTAAATACTAAGCTTTAGTGGCAGGTACAATCCCAGGGTAGTCAGGGTGAAAAGAAATCTAAGCAAGGCAGAGAAAGAGGGAAGGAAAATGGAAACAAGGCAGAGAAGGAGGAAAGCAAATACAGGGTGTCACATTACTGAGCTGGCTACGGTTTCACTAAGACAAGGCTGATTGCTCAGTCATGTGAGACGTTTCTAGCAGGCCATAAGAACCACCCATTACTCAGAACAGTTCATCAGAGGGAAGAAGGGAGAGAAATTTGTCTGTTGGCTCCTTCTCATCTCTTGTCTCTCATGGTTGAAGTATGCCTCATATACTGTTCACTTACCTGAACTTCCAGGTTGCATCATTTGGCCCCTTTGGGGAGCTGCTATGGAAATTAGATTGCATGCCATATTGCATGGTGGTTCAGTTGCATCTGGAAGAGGTAGAAAGAGCCATAGCCTCTTTGGTCCAGTTAAGTCAGGCATGGGTGCTGGAGCTGTTGCTGCCTCCGCTGCAGTGGGCACAATGGAGTTCTGCAGGAACCCAGACTCACTCCAGGGAAGGCCAAGACAGCCACCTGAACTAAGGATAAGGGAATGATGAAACTGCAGCAGTATCCAGGCTTCCTGTGAGCAAGTGGCCAAGGGTCTGGGAGAGAGGTAAGGATGACAGGTCTGAAAACCAAAACCCACTGCCATTGAGTCAATTCCAACTCTGGTGGTATAGTACCTAAAGCACTTGACTGCTAACCAGAAGGATGGCAGTTCAAACCCACCAGCCACTCCTTGGAAGGCGTAGTGATATGTCTCAGAAACCCAAGGAGGGGTCACTACAAGTCAGATCTGATTCCGTGGCAGTGAGTTTGGTTTGTTTGTTTTATAGGACAGAGAAGAACTGTCCCATAGGACTTCCAAGGCTGAAAATCTTTATAGAAGTAGATTGCCACGTCTTTCTCCTGTGGAGCGGCTGGTGGGCTTGAACCATCAACCTTTCTGTTAGCAGCTAAGCACTTAACCACTGTGCCACCAGGGCTTCTTAACTTTATGGATTGGACATTTAACTTTAAAGAAGGACATAACTTTATAGAAGTATTAATCTTTCTAGTTTTTTTTTTTTTTTTTT